TTAGGTGAGATAGAAGAAAAGAAAAGAAAATGGAGGAGAGACAGAGACAGGACAATTTAGTGTAATGATGCATTTCTCTTCGGTGGAAATGCACCGCGAGCAACAAGATCAACAGATTGATCCAAAACCGATACAACACTACTACTATTATGATGTCTAACGTCTTTGAACGAGAGACATGACTCTTTTTTGTAGATAGGTTACGAAGGAGAAAAAGTAATCTAGATTAGATAATTAATACGCAACAAGGAAAAACAAAGTTAAACGGTAACAGAAAAAAAAACAAAACAACCAATACATATTATTTACATTACTTAGAATTAACCGGGGAATAAGTAGAGGTTCTAGTGATGAGATGAAAAAAAAGAATATTCAGATAATGATATATAGTGCATACACTACATTATAAATAGTGTGATTATAAAGGAAGAAAAAAATGAAATGACAGAAACAAAGAAAGCGAGAACAGACACCAAACGAAAAAATAGCGCGTAACTCTCATTACACGAGTCGTAAGAAGAAGAAAACAACAAAAGATAAAAAATATACCAAGCGTAATGGATAAGTAAGTTGCTCATGTGTATATTTTTGTAAATAGGTATTTGCGAGTGCCGCCGCCTTGAGGGTGACCTGTCGACGTTTAAAACGGACGCGACAGGCCGGCCCGCCCCAATTTTTGCTACCACAAATGTTATCGAAAATCAAGAAATTTCTGGTAAAAAGAAAAGATAAAAATATTAAAATACACATACACAAGATATTACATGTCCACCGAATTTGTCCTAGAAGTTTTTTCCGAAGTCCAATTCTTCAGAAATGATTGTATTATGTTAAATTTTTTTTTTGTACATATATACATTTTATTATCGCTCGTATTATTATTACTATTCTTTTATTGTTGTATCTTTTACGTTCGATTCAATTGACCACCCTTCATCCGCCTCTCGCGAATCGGTTATCGTATTTGTTCGATACGCTTCCTTTTCTTTTCGTTGTTCCGTCACCGACAAAATGAAACAAAAGAACGAAAAAAGAAAAAGAAGAAAAACCGTTATGTCGCAAGATACGCACGCAATTTAGTGTTTTTCCTATGTTTTCGCAGCTATGAGAATGTAGGCTTAAAAGTATACGAGGATCGAGTGTAAAAGGAAGAGAGAAGTGAAAAGATAAACGTTTTACCTTTCTCGATAAAACGGCGAATTCGATTTGATCAGACCATTGTAACGAGACGAGAGCAGGAAGAAAATAGCAAGTGGAAACGTGTTAGCAGTGAATTGCCTAGCGAGCGAGCATTCAACTGGGAGTTAATAAATCGTTCTTCGGACCAGGATCGTAACGAGCAATTTATCTCGACAATTAGTTAAAACATATCGAAATTGAATCGAATTAAATTCCAAAACTCCCGGGAGCCTTTCCGTTAGAGTTTCTAATAATAATACGGAACGTGAGAGATGTTGGACCAATCTATAATCCGTAGAGACGTTTGATCATAATGCGCTGTCGGTCAATTAATTGCTAACGCTTTCCTACGAGTAGGGTGCAAGTAAAAAGGAAAAATAAATGAACGAACGAATGAAAAGAAAGAAAAGAGGAACGAAAGAAGCAAACACGGCGGAAAAAATGCTGGAACCGTGACAAAGGGATCGAACACGAGTTGACGAGACTTAGGGGGGCCCATATAGAGTTACTTAGCGCGGTCCAATGGTTCACGGGATACAATTTTATACCTCGTGTGCGCGTGCACACGGACTGAAGGATAAAAGAAACTAAAAAAAGAGGTCTATTAAAAAAAAAAAGTTTTGATATTTTCGAGACACATATTTATAGTGGATACGTATAATATCAGGCCTTTCGCTCTCGTCAGCTCGTGCTGTGAAAACGTAAAGACGAATACGCGATACAATGCACACGTATATTAATATATACAGATGTGTAGGTCGAGAATTTTGAACGAAATTTGCAACACGTATAATTCGGCTGTTGTAATGAAATCGAACGTGTCCGCGCTTTTATCGAGAAATTAGTTGTATGCGAGGATGGATGTTCTGCAGGGTGCAACGTCTGTCGATCGGCGTAACGCGTCATTATTAATTAAAAATTCCTTTTTTTTTTTTTTTTAATTCCTTTTTAAGCGATTTTCTTTTAAAACTTTCTTGAAACACTAAGTTTTATTTCGTCGATCTGTTTTCGTGGTTTTCTCTTCTCTTATCGCAATATCGCGTTTTTTACGATTAGTTTTCTTCTGTATAAATCTTTCATATTCTTTGATTTGAAATATCTTTCTTTTTTTTATTATTTTATATTAAGATATGTTTAACGGTCGTCGCGCAGAGAAATGTTCGTTTTGGACAAGTTCTACGTTCCTACCGACCTCCAAAGATAAAAAGAAACCTAGCGAATGGTGCTGCTGTTTCGATATCGCCACGCTTAGGTATTCCTTTGACGGGTGGCTGAGATTATGCATCCGGAGTCTACGCGCGCTTCCGTGGTTCCGCTTTTTCTCCATCCATTCTCTTGTTTTGTTTCTTTTTTCTTCTTTTAGTTTCTTCTTTTTGAAACGATCAGTAACGATCGATTTATATATGGGGCTACGTGAACTTTGTCGCTACGGTTTAATGAAAGTTTATCGTCGCCTATATATATTATATTATATTATAGTATATTATATTATATTATATATTATATTATATATTATTATATATTATCATTATTATCTATATCTTTATTATTATATTATATTATATTATATTATATTATATTATTATTGATTTATATTGGTACTATTACCGTTATTAATTTTCGAGGTATTTATAGGAATGAATGGGGTATGAGAGTACGAGAGAAGGAGAGAAAGAGGTGCGTGTTTTGTGTGCGTGCGTGCGTGCGTGCGCGTACGAGAGAAGCTGGGTTTTGGGGGAGAAGAATAGAGAAAGAAAAAGAAAAGAGGAAACCGATTGAAACAACGTATGTCGCAATGACAACTGTATATTATACATACTACAGCAGCAGAAACGATTATTCGATAATTGAAAGATGATATGTCGAGCGTATAATAATATACATATGTATGATATACACATAATAATGTCGAAAATATTTCAGTTAATTAAAACTGTTTGATTCCTGTCTTCTTTACCCGCTACGCCGTAAAACTGTAATATATTTATATACATGTATACATACGAAACATACACACGGACATGGAAACGCGAGCGCGCGCGCGCGCACGCACACACACAGAACATACACGCACGCACGCACACAAATATACAACATTTACATACTCGTACAGGAGAAAATCCACTTACCACCATATATGTAAACATAGAGACATGCAATCATAATTATATTATTATATTAATAGTAATATACGATCATTATTTTACTATACTCTCGTATACGGTCGTATCGCGTGTAGTACCTAATTCGGATTCCGTAAACGCGTTGCTCCAATTTCACAGGAGAACTCTCTGGTCCTCCAGAAACGTTCGTGTTTGAGAAAATTCGCTCTCGTCCTTGAAATACCAGAGCGTAGAGGAAGATGCGGCTGTACAAGAGAAAACGAGAGAACATTTCAAATGTCGTTCGGATCCTCGTCTTTCGCGAGCCGTATTCCTATATTTGTACGATATACATTGACACGACACGGAGGATAGAGAGACGCGATGAGGGCGGGAGAGTTCGCGTTCACGGTGACGAGCAGCCGAACACTACTAAGTAGCAACGAGCAATGCACAAGCAATTTATTAATTAGTTAACATACCGCGTAGTACGATCGACGCGTGACAGGATGGACTCTTTGCACGATTCGAAGGGTAGTCTTTCAAAGTGAGCCGACGTTGCAATAATTCTTTCGAAAAAATAAAGAAAGAAAGGAAGTAACCTCCACTAACGTTCGCCTCTACTTTTCGAACGACGCTCTAGTGACTCTAGCGAACTCTAGTCTGTCTCGTTCTCCGAAGTAGACTCTACCCTTCACTCGTGAGGGTCCCGCTCGGCTGCCAGAGAAATTGAAATCGCGCGTCGATCGGTCACGTTTGATAGAGATCATCTCAAAGAGACGGCCAGACAGACGAGCAAACGAAACGAGCAAACAAGCAAGCAAGCGAATAGACAGAGAGAGAGAGAGAGAGAGAGAGAGAGAGAGAGAAAGAAAGAGAGAGAGACTCATAGGATCGAAAGGGAGAAGTGACGAACGAGAGCGTGAATGGGCACAGAAAAGAGAGGCCGTGAGAAAGAGAGAGTGTGTCTATGAGAGTGTATTATGCGAGAAAGGGATACAGAAAAGTGGAGAACGAAGCAATAAAGAGAGAAAGAGTGAGTGAGAGAGAGAGAGAGAGAGAGAGAGACATAGAATGGCAACCGCACCAAGGAGAGACCAAATTCGCTTAACGAAAGCTAATTACTTACTTGCTTTTTATTTATTTTAATTATTAAATATTGATTGATTGATCGATTAATTAATTATTGTATTTATTGGCGCGGAAGACTGAGAGACGGTGGGATTCGCGGAAAGAGAGAGAGAGAGAGAAAGAAAGAAAGAGAGAGAAAGAGAGAGAGAGAGAGAGAGAAAAGTTGATCGATCTAGCATAAGTACTCGATCCAAAACCACCCTCCCCAACCACGAAATACAAGAATGGACTGATCGACAGGCTTAATACGAGCAATGAAAGAAAAAAAAGAGCATTAACCATTGAAGAATCCTTTAGTTGTTACTTAAGCTAACTTAACCACTTAACCTTTACCGCTTTGATAGGAATGGAAATGAATTTGAAGAACAGGATCGGGGAGCAGTGAGACCGTGTTACGTGGGTGTGCGAATGCGTCGATCCGATCGTTCGATCTTTTGACCCGTACGGTTCGTGAACGTACGCAACATCGTTTTCCCGGTCTCGACGAACGACGTTCACGATTGTCAGGCGATCTGTGGGGAACTGCCACGCACAATTCCGCGATCGACCAGATTGGATTCTAACTTTCTCGTTTACCGATCGTAACATCTTTGTTAACATTTTGCACATAGCGAAAATTATAAGGTAGCGACGCAGTTGCAACGAAGCTCTCCAATTGCTTCGACCGCAAAGGTTCGATCGACAGAATCTTTCCGGGAACGAGAGAAAACGGAGGAGAAAATGCGACGTTAAGAAAGCATCGAAGGATAAGAAACAGAGAACAAGTTTGCTAGTAAATTTTGACAGAAAAATTGTACAGGTCGTCGTGTTCGCAGCATTCGGTCGGAGTTCGGGGAACGAATGCTGAGATCTATGGTCGATCGCGCGATTCCAGGGCAGAGGTCTTCTCTTTCTTTCCGCTTTGTTGGATCTTGTTCGAAGGAAAACGCGAAGATCGCGATTGCGAAGCGAAATAATATCGGTTTATGTCGGACAGATTCGCCTCGAGACCGATCTGATACGCGCTAACGAGCTACGGTTAGGGACGGGGGAGAAAGGAAAGGAATGAAAGGAAACGAGAATGAAACAGAACGGGGAAGAAGAAAGACCGTGACAATATATACATATATACATATATATACATATATATATCGATATATTTGCGAGATATTTTGCGAGCAGGGCTTTTTTATCTATTTTATAGTAACCTCAGCTTAAGCGGATTGAGAGGGAGGGAGAGAGTGAGATTGTTTTGCTAAACGAGAGAAACAAAAGAAAACGCAAACACGGCGATTCAAACGAGAGAATAAAGAATGGAGAGAAAAATAGGAGTGCAGAGACAATGAGAGGAGGAAAAATATAATTGCAACAAAATGGATAGGAGAGAAGGGGAGAGAGATATAATGCGCAGCTGACAAACGGTTTGTAAATTGCGTACATAAAAGATAGATAAATAACCGTTGACTAAAAGAAAAGTGATGACGGTTTTACTATGTCGTATACTCTACGTTTTGTTTGTTTTGCGCCTTTGGCTTGCATTACAATTAATTTGATTATTATAATAATAATGATAATTATTATTATTATGATTGACTATTGATTATTATTATTAGTTAATATCATCATCGCCGTCATTATCATTATATTCTTATTATCATTATTATTAATTTTATTACTAATTTTATTATTATAATTATAATTATAATTATAATTATAATTATAATTATTATTATTATTATTATTATTATTATTATTATTATTGCTATCATTGTGTATATGATATAAATTGTAAAAAGAAACATATAACATATTCATTTTACGGGGGATTTACGAGGTCCTTCGAATGAACAAATTGTTTAAAATAAACTGAAGAAATAAATACAATATTGACCAATTAATATCCATTCTTTGATATCCCTTCAAAGCCCTGAGTTATTATTATCGTTTGTTGTCGAAAACGAATTCGTGATTCTGCCATTCGAATACCTTGTTCGTCTTTGAAATTTTATGATAAACAGCGATCATTTTCGTTCTCACGAAAAAGAGTACCTGTTTGTTATCTTGAAAGTGCCGTCGCGTGAGTAAGATTATACTCAGAGGAGCTTTAAAAGTTGGCCTCGAATAATCCGCAACAGAGAAGGACGTTACAAACTACATTTAGCCATAAAAAATAGCTTTTCCATTGCGATTGAAAGCGCCGAAGATATTGAAGGTGATCAACACCCAGTCAAAGCACTCGTTTAACTTATTTAAGAATACCTCAAGCAGTGAATGGAGAAATGGGAATTTCTTTTCTCCTTTTCTTCTTCCGTGTCATTGTCAGTCGCCACGTTGTAAGGAGATCTTCGTGAAAAATGCCAGTGTCGAAGCACACCGTCCGAAAGTCACAATATAAAACGCAGAGTTTCCACTTGCTTCAGTTTCATCGCATCCTAACTTTTCTTCTCATCCTCTTTAGTCTTCTTGCACTCGCGCACGTATCTGGTCATCACCTTGTCTCCCACCGACGATCCTATTAATCCACTCGGCGACAAGTGCATCAGCACCGAGTTGAACGCGTCTCTCGATCAGATCGCACCGCGTACCTCGAGTACGAAGCATTTGTCCCGTGTTTCGAAAGGTGAAACTTCCAAGCCGAAAGCTATCCTCGATAACCTCGAAGACCTATCCGCAGCAGAAGTCACGTTCCTTTGCTTTTTCACATGATACGAATCCCAATGATCCGAGAGTACACACAGTACATCGTGAAAAATGGCGTTTTCATATTCGCACATATGCGTAGATGTTGACTGCAGCTGCCCTTAAAGTGTCCACGAATCTACAGAATCTACGGATATAACGCAAGAATCGGCGAAATCAACAAAGAAGATAAATTACTTTGAAACGTAATCGAAGATAACGTAAATAAAAGAAACGCCGCGATCGGACGAACCTTCCACGGAATGTGACATAAAATTATTTAACGCCACTCGTACGACTTTTAAACGGGCGCGTGCTTTTCCTAGATTTGTAAAACATCTAAAAATAAACACGGTAATTATAATAAATAACTCGCAGTACGACATAGAATTCATAAAGTTCAAGATCCTCGCGTAGACTGTCTCGTTATCTGGATACCTGGTCGGAATACTGATTGTTGGGTTGACGTGTAGATAGGTGGTGGTCATGTTCGGTTCGATCATGTTGGAGGCGTACTGAATATTCAGTAACACGTCGTATTCACCGTTCGCCACCAGGGGCAACAACTTGTAGCAATGAGTGTTGTTCGCGTAGCCGGTTAACTTCGGGCTGGCGTACAATTTGGGCAAGTGTAATTCGGTCACTATGCCGTTTAGGTCGCTTAACACACTTGTGTCTTCTTTGTTCAAGATCGATTGTCAGAAGGGTTGTGCACATTTACTGCCTTCGATTGTAATCCGTCGGTGTTCTGGTTTTTGCCAAGTCGAAATTGTCGTAGGTTGTTCAACTTAGAAATTCGCTGGAATCGCGCTAGTTTCATGTTGCCAGGAATAGAATTATTCTGAAAGTTTCAATATTTTTGCGTTTCATGGTAAAATTAGGGAACACGGGAGAACTTTAAAAGCAAAGTTTATCAATTAATATTTTGTTTTATTATCCTTGATAAATTGACGAAAAGTTACCCATATTTCTTAGTCGTTCGAAAGATCTTGTTCTCTTGCGAAGAAATTCCTTTGTGTCCTTTCCAATTTGTTAAATTATTTACTGGTTATTCGCGAAAGAGAGTTTTGTAGGTATTGCAATAATTAATAATATCGATATTAGTAGTACAGTAAATTTTCAAATAATATCAATCATCTCTTTTGTTGCGAAAGGAATTTACAATCGGATGTGTAATAGTGAAATTAATAAATAATTCTTTTATTAAGCAGTGCTATTACATGATACAATTATAAAATTAGTATTTATATAAGTTATCGTCTACATATTTAGTAATAACTTATACCAATAAAGATAATTCGCCATTTATGTGATAGAACATGTCAGGGCATTGCAAGCAATGAGAAGCAACCAACAGCAGCCAACAGCTGGTTAGCAACGACGATCTTCTTGGAAATGAGTATACAATGAAAAATGAGATTATTTACTGTAAATAAAATTATACAAAATGTATTTAGAAAGAGTTTCGATAGATCAGAGTAGTTTAACAACATTTCACAGTCTCGTTACTTATCCGCTTTACTATCAAATCTCACAAAAACTCACCAAAATACAAAAATATAAAAATGAGAAATATGTGACGTCATTTCTAAGAATCGATGAAATTGTACCATTCTCTGTGAGATCATGTTCTCCTGATACAAAATTGCAAAATTGGACCAAATTTTCACGATTTCGGCTCCGAGAAATTCCTGGAAAATATCGTCATTTCCAGGAATCGCCTCGATTGTTCCTGAAAAGTGACGTCATTTCCAAGAATTGCCAGAATTGTGCCACTTCGGAAAATCGACCCAAAATTTTGAACCAAATCTAAAAAATTCTGGCTTCGAAAAATTTCTGAAATATGACGTCATTCCCAAGAATCGTCGAAACTGTGCCACCTCCTGTGATATCATGTTCTCCGGATACAAAATCGTCTCAAAACTACTGCGTCCAACAATTTTAACATCGAAAATCTGCTTCTCGTTCAATGCTTCCGATTTCTTGAGGATTTGTCAATTCGTTGCCTTCCCATAAAGATCTCCACGAGAAAAGCCACAATCCCTAAAACGTATCCACCCGCCAGGATATAGAAGCTGAACAAGACATGACGCATCTTCAAAGTCTTGAAGCTTTTATTTTTGTCCAGTTGCCTTTTCTTCCACGCCCAGCGCGTTTTTCTTGTACTCTCCTTCTTCCATTTTTCTATAATTCCACCTTCGACCGTTCTTCGAATCATTTGCGTTACAGAAGCAAGCAGTGGCCAATCCTCTCTGGTCTTGAACACTAGCGAGTTTTGCTGTATTTTCCTAGATCGATAAAGGCGCATTTCATTGCGGATCCTCATGTAATGATGAAGACAGTCACCTAAGCAGGCGGCGCATCGCGATCGAAGCACGTGCTCCTTGCAAGCATAGTAGGTGTCCTTGTGGAAACGCGATTGTAGTTCGGGATCCTGAAGCTCTTGACCGTGAAACATCGATCCGTAGATTTGGCAGCCAGACTTCTGTGAACGATGAAACTTCGTTAATATTAAAATTAGAAAACCGGCTCTTCACAGGCTAAAGTACTTCACTCCTTAATGCGATGCAAAAACCACTTTGCGAGATTTTTTCAAGTTTAATGCCAAAGCACCGGTTATACGATTTCATCGATATCGTTTATATTCTGTCTCGTGCAGTCAGCCGTTGTTGCAAATAAGCGGCTCAATTATAAATACAGTGACTCGCATTAACATTCGCATTGATAATACTATTTTTAGTCATTTAGTAAAGTACGCGATTGATTCTCTAACCGCGAGGTTTTTCCTATTGCATTAAGAGTCTCTCTGTGATAAACTTATACAAGATATAAATTTCGTGCGCTATTTCTTTTTCTTTTTTTTTTTTTTTTTTGCAGGAAAATATATGAATCATCCGTGGCTGTAGTGTTAAATGAATAAAGTATGTGTTTCGGTCAGCTACGATATTTCTTTTAAAATGCTGGGAAACTGTGGTGTTCAAGTATCAAGTATACAAGGTACACCGTAAGTATTCGTAATTTGCTTAAGATCGTACAACTACCTTAAGATCCTCCGATGTTCTAATATTTGGTAGAGAAACAGGAATAGTAAGAAACGAAGCCCAATGACTCTGGTGCAGCGCGTTCACTATCAAGTACAATATGAACGTACTACTGAAGAAGATCCTGGTGGAATTGGTTCCCGGTAATCTATGTACGGCGCCAAAAGTCATCAAACGTATTATATTCATACTAGCGTTTACGAATCCCTGGTATTTCGTAAGAACCAGAAGGGCGATCACGAACACGACAGCATTGACCGCGTGTATAACTGGCGATAGGAAGGACATGATCTTGGTAAACTCTGATATTTCTCCTGCTCGTTGCGTGAACACGCAAAGACCGTCGTCTCCGTGAGGATACGTGTGTCTGCAATAAAACACATGGCAATCTTGTTATCGATATAAAAGAGAATTCCTTGCGTTTCGTTTTCAAGTAGATTCTTCCGACATGGTCAGACATTCGATGCATCTCTTTCATTCGAACGTCCCTCTCGGTACAACGTTCACGTGTTTTAGATTATAAATAGAATTTCTCTAATTTATAGAAGAGAAGAATCATGATCGTTCACGGTTCTTTGAGTTAATTTAACATTTAATGTACGACGAGGAAATTAAAAACGAAGTGAAAAACGATCTCGAAGAATATTTTTTAAGTAAGCCAAGAGAATTTTGGACAAATGGCATTATGAGGCTCCCGGAGAGATGGCGAAAGGTGGTAGAAGAGAAAGGATCATGCATTATTTAAGAAAGGAAATATATTTCATACTTACCTCCTATTTAAAAAACGAAAAATACTTTCCAGACAACCTAATATAAGTTTTGTTATTTAAAGTTCATTTAGAGTTGGCGATTTCAGGAGTCTTCCTCGTCTTTGGTTTGCTCGATTGTTACGCCATAAATATGATATACATATAGAATAACGTAATATATTTGCGTTATCAATAACAGATAAAAAACTAATTTTTTCTCATAGACTAAAAGGAGACACGACCCTGAAAGGGCTAATACAAATTCATCGAAGCTTCTACGTACTTATGAGCAGCAGCGTATGCGTGCCTATCATTCCAAGTCACATAGCATTATGGAGGGTTAAAACTGGAGAAACACGTACTCGACCTTCCATGTATTATACAGGCTCCTCGCGTTCATTCCTATATCCACCTCACCAGTAGCCAAGTCAGCCATCATTCCCACCATGGTTCCGTGACTGCCAATTCCTCCTAAACTATACGGAGATCCAGTGTACACACGCACGCGAAGGCTCGCGTTCAACTTCTTGAACACTATTTTCAGGATTTCGCTATTGTCACCGGAGAACTGTTCCAAGCCTCGTTTAGTCGGGTCTATTTGAAGATGCGGCTCGAAGGATATGGCGTTCGTTCGGACCTCGTACCCGGTTAGATCTTTCGTTTTGTCGAACATCAAGTCCTCGCATGTTCTCCAATCTTTCACATTCAATTTATCATCATTTTAGAATCTACTCACACTATTTTCTAAACGTTGTTACTTTCTTAATGAATTTTATTATCGCGCAGTGATAAAAATTTTCGTTTGGCTAGTTTATCGCCAAGTTATTCGCTAGTTTGTTGCTTTATCGCCATAAGGGGAATGCACACAGTATGTATCAGGTTGTCCGAAAGTGTCTTTCTTCTATAGACACGTCTTTTACAACGATGCATCTTTATACAAACACGAGACTTAATCCGTAAAATGTTGTGATATTTATTTTGATAGAACAAAATGAATCATAGGTAACTCGATAAAATAATATAAAATGGAAAATGTTGTGCATCCATTATTTCCTTCTAAAACGAAAGAAACTTTTCGGACCACCTAATAAATATGTGTGAAAATATTCAAAATGGAGAACGAGGCAAATGTCTAATTAACAACAAATGCTACTTCTTCGGTAGCGTCGATAGCGTCGAATTTGTACACGGAATTCGCGGTCTAGCTATAAATTAAGCGACTCACCATTATACTTCTTTTTCAATAATATCCAAGGATGTTCACCGCGCCCATGGAAATGTCCAACGTTCCTCCAAACTTCTGGCGCGATGCTCGAATAAGGATTAAAAGTATAAAGGACGATTCCTTCGATCGGATCGATGCATAGAAATATGGTGGAAAGTCTGTCGTATTCCCAAGCTGTCCACAGGAAATTGTAAGCGTTCACACAGCCGCGTTGCTCGGTTTTCCTATCTATCAGAATATGGAAACCCTGGAAGTTCGACCAACCAGAGTCCTTTGTCCTTTGCAGAAGCAATTGAAGCATTGGCTGCGAGGATGCAACCACGATGAATTGGTTCAATTTCCAAAGCAAATATATCACAGAGAACTGTGTGTATATCGTGTACGAATATTTGCCCAGAGTGAACATCTCGAACGCCGTTGATTTCGATTCGGAGATTAATGCAACCGGTAGATCGTTGAGTAGAGATCGTTGAAAGAATTCATGGTACTCCCCAGCTAATAGAAGAGCGTCGTCTGCATGGAACATCGTACATGATCGAACGATTGTCATCTGAAAGTGCGTTTTTCGTATGATCGTGTATTTTTGATAGATAAAAGAAAGTACACGTAATATACGATAATACGTATATTAATTTACTATACATATATATACATCGACTATACATCGGTAGTATACTAATTTCGTTATGCATAATCGTCTTTGAAGAGAAATTCCTTTTACCTTTCGAGCCTGTGTATCATAAATATAATGACATTGAAAAATATAAACTATCAAGTAATTATTATCACTTGTAATTATTATCATGATATACAGGGTGTTACAAAATTTATCACGTGTAGGACAAAGAAAATATAAATATAGGAGTTCTGTATAATATTCTACAAAATTAAAGTTGTGACTGTACTTTAAATCGATCAGTTTTCAACTATGTCACTTTAATACTTTTTTTACGCAGAACGATGAGAAGATTCGATTCTTACGATGCGAAGAGAAGGAAGGTTTCCATTTAAAAAAATAATGCAACCATAAAATGAAAAAAAATATCGCAAATACGTAGTTCATTTTCAACCGTTCGTCGTTCTCCTCACGCTTTTTACGAGACAAACGTTGGCTAATAAATCCGTGAACGCTCGGTATAGGCAATTAGTTCATATTTCTTTCCAAGTTCTGCTGAGCAATTATTGCGGCATTTTAGTCGCCAACATCGTCATTTTAATCGATATTGAAACATACAAAATGTCCATTTTTTCAATTAACGGCAAAGCCATCGGTCTATAATAACATGAACATTTCATAAGCTTCAATTTATTTTTTTTATTGCAGTTATAACTTGAGTACCGTTTTATCAATCAGCTCGTTGTAAGTGACTTTATTTCCAATGGTCGCATTGGCAGTCACCATAGAGATTAATAAGACAATGTTCCAAGACTTCCAAGTAAGCAAAGCCATAGTTCGCGAGACGCGGTTAATAACACACAGTTGATCGTTGCGGAAGCTTCTTTACTTTTTCTGCAAAATCATGCGCGAACTGCACGAGGCAAACAAAGTCGGAGTCGCACTTTGCAACGTTAGGTCAAGTGACGTTAATCGGACTTAATTGTTGCCGCTAAGAATGAAACTGCACTGTTCATTCAATAACTTTGTATAATTCCCATCGGACGAAATCACGAGTCAACTTAATAGATTCGGTTTTACAACGTCGTGTTGCGTGCTTATTTAATACGTCCCAATGTCCCACGGGATTAATCGTTACGGTATAACGACAAACAATGTACTGATCCACGTCACCGAATAGCATTCCCTTTCCTGTTAGGCACCTACCATTTTCCTAACAATTGTTCCATCTGATAGTCATCTAAATTGACCTGTGTCCATTTTCACAAATAATAATGGCTCGATAACGATCACTCGCAATTTTCGACCGTGGCATTTTTACTTTTCATCCGTGTTTCCATTATTTACCAAAAATGCTCGTGTCACGTTGTAATTACACAATACTTCCATTGATAGTAAAATGTAACGTTTTCTTCTTAGAGACAATTTTTATTCCTGCTTTTCATTGTTTCTTTTCTCTTTTATTTACCAAAAAAAAAAAAACAAAAAATCGCAAAATACTTTGTCTATTAGCAAAATTGTATTTATTCTCCTTCCTTCAATGATTTTTTAACTGTTCAAACATTGCATTTCCCGTTCCAGAAACTTTCTTGTCAGAAATATCTTGACACTTAGTCACGTCGAGAAACGAGAATGGTTTCCACGATATTTCCGTTCTCCAGGCTTCGCATATAATTACAACGCAACACGACCGTTCTTCACAAATAAAGAAAACTCTGCTAAAGGGTAGAAACCCAACGCAATGGCAAGTTATGACCGAGCTCTGCTTAGAAACTTCTATGTAGTTTCAACCTGAGCGTGTCAATGACCTAATCCACGAAATCGTCGTGCAACCGCGGACGTTTTAAAGACGAAGAACACGGTTCTCCAAAGTGGGAGGCCAACCCCACCATCGCCGCTAAGAAGAGGACGAGCCGAGGACAGTTTTGCATCGGTCGTCGTCCCGAGTGCTCGCTTCTTCAGCTGATTTCCGGATAAGGAGGAGAGGGAGTCGTTTGTTTTTCATTTACACGCGCGAGTTTATCATTCTGTTATCACAGGCTCGCCACAGCTGTCGTTTATCATCGTCTTCGCGCTTTCTTTCTTCGTCATACACTCGTAGCTGGCGCCGTGTCGTGCGAAGCTTTGAAACTCTCCGTACGTGTAGACAGCAGTCGTTGGACACGAGGATTAAACTTCCGAGTCAATTATTGCAAGACAGATACATTGATCGCGAGGCAATTCTTTAGCGAACTGGATCGTCGAGAACGAAAATAGTATCTTCAAGGAAACCGGTTTACAGTTCCACGAAAGACTGAGAGTGGACGACCGGCATCGTGACAGGATGATAGCGATTCGAGGAACAGCGTCGTGGTTCTACCTGACAGTTTTCGTTGTTTGTCACGTGGCTGCTGCAGTGCAGCCCCACATCGTTTTCATTTTGGCCGACGACCTGGTGAGCTGTCAGTCATTTCGTTCATTTGCTATTATAAGCTTCGTGTACAGAGTGGTTCAGGTTTCTCACGTTGTTCTATGGGTATAAAATGGGAAAAGAATGAAATAAAGAAGCCACGTCGACGGATCGCATAACTTGAAAAGTAGAGAAAAGTGGCAACGGTTCGCCTAAAGACTATTTCTTCAAATCACCTTAACGATTATTATCCCGTCATCTTGCAATAAATAAACTTGCAGAAGTAAGTTATTAATCTCTTGATAATTGAATATTAATCGTGTTTTTACGTAATGAAACCGGTACAATCATCTAGATATCGAAGGTCGATGTAGTTCCAATGCTAATAAGTATACTCGTTTACTCGTTTATTTATTTATACCTATAAATTATCCCGAGGAGATGTAGCTAGAAAAACTTGCGTCACTTTGTACATTTTTTGTATTATCGAAATTTATAGAAGTCAACATACAAGTTACAAACACTTCGATATATCAAGGATATCGATCGCCGTTGAAAGAGTTCGATGAATATTTTAATTGTTGCGCCTAATTAAATCCGCCGAACAGGGATGGAACGACGTCGGATTTCACGGATCGGGACAAATCCCAACGCCAAATATCGACGCTCTGGCATACTCAGGCTTGCTGTTGGACCGCTATTACGTCACTCCAATTTGCACACCGTCCAGGAGCGCTTTGATGACCGGCAAGCATCCCATTCACACAGGAATGCAACATGGGGTACGCGGCTCCGTCATTAACTATTCAAGCGCGTAATCGGCTTGTAAATAAAACGATGTTGCGCTAAGGAGGATTTAACAACCGCAAGCATTAATTCCACCGTGGTTCGTTGCACTCCGACAATACTAGTTTCGTTCTATGGAGAGAGGAAAACACCGTGTCGCTGTGTTTTGTAACGATCTTCGAACCGGAATTATTTTTTAATAACGAAATTGAGTCAGTTGTATTGCCTGATTTACGTTAAAAATCGAATATTTGACAGACGAGTGAAACGAAAGATAATATAATTAACTTTATCGACAGCAATTGTTTGACTTTAGACAAATTAGATATTAATTATCGGATTATAGAATTTTTATGAAAATTACGCTGCTATATTTTCGCCATTATATTTACAAATTATTTACACCAACTATTCGATCTCGCTTACTTCTCACTTTGTTTCCATTGACTTCATACTTACGGCGAAAGTATAGCTGACCTTTAACTATTGGTATTACGGGACCTTAAAAAATTGGTATTTCGGTGAGACAAGGTTCGCGTTTTTAATTGTGAAATTCCGAGAAATCGGAGTATAATTAACGTTACATGGCGTGGAATTAGGTTCTGAAATGCGCCGAGCCGAGAGGACTCCCTCTTCACGAGAAGCTTTTACCGCAATATCTTCGAGAACTTGGCTATAGCACGCACATCGTTGGTAAATGGCATTTGGGATTTTACACGAAAGAATACACGCCTATGTATAGAGGATTCGATTCGCACATTGGCTTTTGGAGCGGTCATCATGATTACTTTGATCATAGTGCCGTGGAAAGTGTAAGTAATTTAATTTGCATCTTTTAACAGCGTATCCCGAAAGAGACTCGGACGAACCGTCAAATATACTATACACATGTTAATGTATTACGTATACAGAAAAATGGCAGCAAAAGTATCTTTACATATCCTAACTCTCTAAGGAAGGATTTTTTAGGATATTTTTTTTTTTGACATTAGGTTCTACGTTTCTTTCGTACAAAATTCTTGCAATCGTACGAAATCATTATTTTATTAAACGATACGAAATTTATTACTGTTGGATCTAATTAACTATCATACGAATGCGATAATAAATAAATTCGGTGGCTTCCAAATACTTTCCGTAGTAACTGCGTATTTTAAACGTCATTAAAAGTAACGCATTTGTTTCTTGTAAAAGATCGAGCTACGTACTTTGTATCTGACAGTAGAAACGCGGAAAATCTTGAGGAGAAAGAGATTTAAATTATTTTCTAAACCGTCCATTCTAAATTCTTCGTTTAATTTAATTACGCCATCAAAGGGTTAAATTAAATCGTTGAAGGAGGAGAATACTGTACAATTTAATTTAAATGCAGCCATATTGGGGATTAGACATGAGAAGGGGATTAAATTCAGCCTGGGATCTCCACGGCCAATATTCCACGGATATTTTCACGAAGGAGGCAGTGAAACTAATCAATGATCATAACGCCAGTCGTCCAATGTTCCTCTATTTACCTCACGCGGCTGTACATTCCGGAAATTCTTACAATCCTCTGCCAGTACCCGACCAAGATGTCGCCAAGTTCACCAATATCTTCAATTACGAGCGTAGGCGCTTTGCTGGTAACTAGAGTACGCTTGTTTACCAATCTACGTATAATTTTAACACTACGATTATCGATGACTAAGGCATGAAACTTGTACTAATAAAAATTATCGTCCTAAAGTGTGTTGACACTTACGTATTTCTAATAGAAATAAAATTTACTTATTTATTTCTGTAATTAGAAAATTACTAGAAAGAAAACTCGGGATCGTTTTATTCTTCGCTAGAGCTTTCGTATAACATCGTGATATGGAAAGTAAAAAAAGAAAAAAAAAAGAGTAGGAATCTAAATTTTCTCTGTAACTATTCTTCCAGTTGAGACGAATGCGTTGAAGCTTGGTGTAAGATGTTTTCTTTTGCTATACAAATCGACGAAAGCGTTCACGAATGCTTGCACTTATGCTTAGTTTTGAAAATACATTGTTTCAAATTATAAGTCGTTGTCTCGATTACTCTGACAATTGCAGCGTTAATAGCGTCAACGTTGTTTTTCAGAAAACGATACGATGACTTTATTGCAGGTATGCTGAGCAAGCTAGACGAGTCGGTTGGCCAGGTGGTCGAAGCTCTTCGCAAGAAGGGGATGCTAAAAAACAGCGTGATCGTGTTCTCCACGGATAATGGCGGGCCACCGGCCGGTTTCAATTTAAACGCCGCTTCGAATTGGCCTCTGAGAGGCACAAAAAACACTCTCTGGGAAGGTATTACTGAAAGAACACTCATCTGTATATGATTTTCCAATGCGAGAAAATAAAGCAAATATAGAATTGAACGACCAATTTATCCTTATTAGGAGGCGTTAGGGGAGCCGGTTTATTATGGTCACCAAGATTAGTGCGTCCTGGGAGAGTGAGTAGACAATTGTTTCACATCAGTGACTGGTTGCCAACGCTTATAACAGCTGCTGGAGGAAATCCATCTAATTTGAGCATCGACGGGATGGACTTATGGTATGCGCTGAGTGAAGATACAGAATCGCCACGAAAAATGGTTCTTCATAATATCGACGATATCTTTGGAGTGGCAGGAATCACGTATGGAGACTGGAAGTACATTCAGGGTAAAAAGTAATTGTAGCTTTATCATCAGGAAATTAGGAGCTGCAATGGCGTGGTAAAGTTTCCGGTCGATTAATCCTTTCTCTTTATATCCCAGAACGATACCTGAAGAAATTTCGAAATAATATAATACGAGCGTTACAAGTTAAAAAAAAGAAACAGTTCAATAAATAAGCACTGTTATGTGGTTTTATAATATCAGTTAAAATTCTTTATTAGAATAGAAAATATTGGAATATAAATATTATACATATATTTATAGTATTGGAGTAGATTATATCACAATACCTCGATTTAGAAAATATTGGAAGATTATATTTTGGAATACAAAAAATTCATGTGGCCGGAAAATTTTGTAAACTACCGTGTATTATGGTTTCTACTTCTCAATTTCATTCGAATTCGTTTTATTTAATTATTATATTTTCTGGGTTCTAAGGGTCTACCTATAATGGTCAATGGGACGGTTGGTATGGCCCATCCGGGAGGGAATGGGTTTATGATATCGGAGGCGTGATCGGAAGTACAGCTGGTCGAGCAGTGGCCAGCGTCGGCTTGACTTTGTCTGCAGACGCTATTCGCAGGCTTCGGGAAGATGCTATGATTAAGTGTCCTCCGAAAAATGATAGTTTGCCACTATGCAAACCGCTGGAGGCGCCTTGTCTGTTCAATGTTCAACAGGACCCTTGCGAGGATAATAATCTTATAAACAAGTGAGTGAGACAATTTCTATAATATCAACGTTTTCAACGTCTTTCTTTTACCGATGACACGAGCTTGATGATGCGATTTGCTTATTTTTTGGGGGGTTCAAGGTATCCTTCCCTCGTGACCGAGCTGCGAGACAGGCTACGTAAATTAAACGCCACTGCGATATTACCTGGCAACCTGCCATGGGATAACAGAGCGAATCCAGATTATTGGGATCACACGTGGACTAATTTCGGTGACTATCTGAACGTATTCGCGAATAATGTCAGCTGAAGCTACAGGAGAAAGAAAACGGATAAAGGAATAAAGTTTAGCAAAGTACGTTGGTATCTTCTTATATCTTTAGACACGCAGGACTATGAGGTAAATGCATCTCGAAGGGAATCTTTATTAAACGTGTTGATTTTTCCTCGGTCGCCTTTGTCAGCCCTAGACCATCATCCTGTCCATATGGAGATAATAAAATAATAGGCGCGGGATTATAAATAGTATCTCGTTTATTCCTTAATCTATACACTTCGATCTTGTCGGGCCACAGTTCTATCCAAGTGTGTATAAAGTGGGGAGCGAAATGGGAAAAGGAAATTTGTTCGAAATGAAAATGGGACGTCCTCGTGTTGGCTAGAACGTCAGAATAGGTCCTTCTCGATGATCAAGAATATCTGTAAATACACGATAACACGCGTTATTTATTGCGCGGCACTGAAAGCATGTTCCCTGTGAAGGAATGTACTTACTTCCCTCTCTAGTTCACTGATACGCATTGCTAATACTATCTTATTTACATGTGCGAATTATTTGGCCAATGCTATTTTTATGACTGTCTTGGATTTATCAGAAACAAACAATCAAATCCATATTCCTTCCAGGGAATTTCTTTCCATTATGAGTCTGTCGTATCTTTAATGGCGTACCTTTGGCAATGCTCCACCATGGCAGGGTAATATAAGTAAGAAACGCGTTCAAGGGAACGGATTGGGCCCGTCTGGTCTCTTTCCAGAAATGGAAGGTCTGTGTGAATCCTCGCATCGTCCACAGAGGGTTGTAAGCGCCGTCGTCCAACTCTGTTAACACACAGAGAACGAACCGATTATTGCTAATAACTCTGAATATCGAACTAAGTCAGAGGCTTGACCAACGATTAAGATCCTGGAATGATTCGTGTCGATAAATTATATGAAAGCAATCGCAGGAAATAAATCTGGTTAGACGATCGACAAAAGTGAATTAAGATTAAAGGATCGGATGTGGGTTCGAGGATCGGCTAGCTAATTGCTGTTCAAATTCGTGACGTTGAATGGCTAAAATAATTGTTCGCAAAGGTGAACAGGTGTAGCACGAAAATATGTAGAGGTGTTACAATGATGCACATTAGCTACAGGTGCGCAGAATAAGTAAACACGAAACAGGGATGCACTAGCTTCTTCTTTCTGCGCACAACGTTCGATATTTCATTTTTTTTTCTCTTTTCGCATTAATTGCTAATTTGTTAATTTTATTTCTTTGTATTATTCGTTCTTTTCATTTTTGTTTATTTATTTGGTAGATCCTTTTTTGATATTTTGTTCGCGCATTGTTGAAGATGATCGGACGCTGTGAAGCAGAAAGAAAGGGTGAATCGTTGTTGCTACCACACGGACAGTTCGCATTCTACGATTTCTATCTCGACTCTATCGGTGTCAGTGAATGCTTGTCCCTCATCGTGGATGACTATGTTTATACCGGTGGTGAAACTCGCGTAACGAAAACGGCCGCTATTTTTTCACGTTGGTTCGTATTCGTTACCACCCCGATATCTTTAGAGCCGCGAGGTATAAAATTAATCACCCTATAAATTACTGTTAGAAACCACCACCAGCACTAGTGAACACCGTCACGACTGTTCCAACAATAATGGCCGACAATAATAGTCGATTGATCGCACCCCCGTTGCCATTGTTATTTCACCATCCTCATAAACACAGTCATTTGTTGAGCATGGCTGTACAAGTTTACCTTCCTAACTAGGAATGTATGAATGTACAAGAATACGAGTTGAGTACAATGGACAACATGACTGCTTTTTGGTGTCGCACGAGCTGCTCGATGAACGACCGTTATCCTCTGCATATAAAAATTAAATTTCTCTCCAGTGTAAATTGTTAATTCTAGCTTTACAGTTTTCGTCGCGTATAAATAATCTTCCTGTATAATTGTTCCTAATAACGAGGCTACTCCTATTATTAATTTTTACTATTAAATCTTTCTCTCCGAGCTTCTTAGTTAACTTCTTAGTTTGCCAATCTTCAACCCAAATCTAATTTCCTACTTAGAAGTAAGAATTTCTGAACAAAGCTACTCCTATTAACTTCTATGCAACTCTCCAGTTCCCCTTCAATCAGTCTTTCAATTCTCAACACAAATCTAATTTTCTAGGAATAACTATTTCTAAACAAACAAACTGTTATACTAACTTTCTTGTTTTATTACATTTATTAAACGTTATGCAACGTTTTCTTCTAAGGCTTGAAACAGACCTTTGCGTTAGACAAACTTATCAAACGGAACTTAGAGACCTCCAGGGAAACTAAAAAATCATTCCCGCCTATCTATGATATCCACGTATTTCCATAATAATTCGGCTTAATTCGTAAATTGCGCAAAAGAAAGCGGTCGTTCACAGAGCAGACCCGTGTCCTGTACGCGTGGGCGCGTGATCGGGTGTAGAGATGTGTCGGGCAGGGGGAAGAAGAATTTACCCTGTGAGCCGGGGCGGCGCGGGAGCTCGCACCAATAGTAGATAGCTGTGCCGTCTGGTGTGACTCGATGCGGCGGAAGAGGGTTGCCTGCGAAGCTGCCGGACAATGCTCGTCTTCGCCTCCTTCTAGGCAGAGTGGCGCTCTGTCTGTGCGTGGTCAGGTTGCCTCTTGTAATACGGGCGTTCGCGTTTTTATCTCTCATCTGCTCGTCGTTTTTGTTCTTGTTCCGGCCGGTGTAGTATTCTTCGTGATCCGAGCCAGCCGAACGAAGACGCCGGCGACCATCGGTCCGACGTACCCTGACCACTTCGTCGTCGCTGAGTCGTCGATGCTCCTCGTCGTTCTCCAAGTTGTTGATCCGCTCGTGATTAATCTGACCGGTGCTGTATGGCCTTCGTTTGCGGTTATTGTCCTCCTCGTACGGTAGTTCCTCCTTGCCATGCACCAGAATCGCGCCCGCGTCCAGCTTCTGTCTCACGTTGTCGTCAGTCAAACAAGCTGCCGCTGGCACGAGTATCTCGCTACCCACTTCGATATGGTTGTGTTGGTGGTTGCGGAGGCCTGCCACCAGATAATTCGTTTCGACATTGTGTGCGCGCTCGTGTCGCGTTTTCACGATTCTTTCGTCCCTTCGTCTCTATCGTTTTGATTGGTTCTCATATAATGCAGTACACGATATCGAGATTGCTCTGGGATTCGTTGGCTCTATTCGATCGGTTATTGTACGATAGATTGGACGACGTCCAGATTGCTTTGAGATTTGCCGGCTTTATCGTTTTAATTGGTTTTCGTAGATTGGTTGACATCGAGATTGTTTTCAGGTTTATTGGCGTTCGAGTTAGTTCTTTTGGAAGACGAGAAACGCGAGAGACGAAGAACAATCGTTTTGAACACGCAGGAGCACGCTCACCGTGTGTTTCGTGATAGGCCTCCTTGTGATTCGACGAGTTCTCATTTTCGGTACGTTCCCACGAGTTACGTTGCTTTTGCTTGGGACGTTGTTGCCTGCCAGAAAGGAAAGGGGATCTTCGTCGCCTGACTTGAGGACTCCTGTGATTTCCTGGTGAGCCCCGGCCGCCCCAGCTGCTATCCTGTAGGTCGGCTACAAAGGAAAGAGCCGGAAAGGCACGTGACACAGATTAGAGACAATGTATTTCTATATCTTTTCAGTTTGGCTTCTTTTTCGATTCGTTTTTGTTTTCTTTTTTTATCTTTGAATTTTCATTGGCTCTATTTTGTCTGATTTTTTAGCTCAATCGTCCATTTCGCGACAAGCGTATGAAATTCGCGTGTGGTGGTGTTGGTGGTGGTGCTCTACAGCCGTTTCTTCTCGACGAACTCTCACGTATTTTATCTCTGTTCGTTTCTCGGAGATTTTCGAACGATCTTATCTGCGAAATGTACCGAACCACTGCGTCTCGTGGCACTTGGTGGTCTGAAGGAATACAAGAGCATGGATCAACTAGGTTCTTTCGAACCGATCTCGAGCTTCACGTTCTCGACAGCAAGAAAAAATAATCACGAAGATGAAAGTGCCTCTGATCATCACGTACGCGATCTTAAACGAACACCTTTCGTATTAATAATCCAAGAATATTCGGAAAAGCGTTCTTGCGTCTCGATCGTAATCATCTAAACTAAAAAAACTAAAAAAAAAAGAAAAATCTAAAAAAGGAAAAAAGATCAAATAAAAATTCTTCGAATAATAATCATAGATCGATGTATCATCGAGACCGACTCCTAAGAGGATCAACTAACTATCGAAAGAAAAATATGTGCAGAATACACAGATACGTAACACAACAGCATGCACAGTCGACTCTGAAAGGTGCAGGCACTAGAAAGAACAGGGAGAAGGTAAATATATAAGATTATTATCTTCATCCGCGACTTTCGTCCCGTCTTCGTCGAACTTGGACTAAACACCATGAAAGGATAACAGTTTGTAGTTACCGTCTCGAACGTCTCCAGCTTCGATTTCGTTCAGTCCATTGGCCATTGAGTCCAGACCCTCGTTCTCTGACCTGGCTTTCGTTGCAGCTGTGTCTGGTTTCGTTCTCCAACCACCCCGGACGAAATTATTCAAATTGGCGCTTGGGTCGGATAGCCTTCGTTGATGTCGATACATAAATAATTCCTCGGCGTCGTCCCAATCAGCGTCCCAGAGGGAATCCGTGGCACAGTAGCCAGGTTCCGAAGTTGGTGTCTCCGCTCCTGAACCCTTTGGCTTCGTCACAGCCATTTCCGCGTGCCCCTTGCCTGAAAACAAGCAACGAAGGTTTTCAGGTTTCCATAGAAAACTAGAAGCGATCGATCGATTTGTTGAAGGGTTTCCTATTGATAATCGTACCACGAGGTCCCTTCATTCGAACGAATTCTATTCGTTGGGAAGCCGCGCCAGAAAACAAGCCAAAGGTCATACGCTGCGCCATTTTGGTACTGAGACTGGACTGAAAGTAAAAATACGATGTTTGTTAAAAATAGCTGATGTAACGCGTTGGTTAACATGACTTTGTTAATGAAACGTACTCTTGCGTCATATACTTTCTTCAAAGCGTCGTATCTGATAGACCCGAGAAAAATGACACCTTGAATGGCGCCCTCTCTGTCGGACGCAACCAATTCCACGCATACCATCTCCCCATCCCTGACTAGAATATCACAGAAAACTTCGTCGAAATTGTCCACCATGAAACATATATGCGGGTACGTCATCTCTTCGAGATCTCCTTTCGCGTCCATTCGCCGCCGACTCGGGCTTGCGTAAACCTTTTGCGAGTGTCTTCGTAATACCTGAAATATTTATTCGTTAAAAAATTGCAAGAAAGTGGAATTAACTCTGCTGATTCTCTATGAGTCAATTTCGCCCTGCTTTCGATACGCAATAACGTTTTAAGAAAAGCTTTGGCATAAAATTGCAATGTGAAATCAAGTAAATTAACAAAGGTTACAGGTAAAATAACAAAGAGAGCACAAATTAGACTAAATACTACCCTGCTCAAGAGTCTCGTCAGAATTTCATCAGCAAACCACGGGACAATCTTAGCACCAAGCTTTCGCATTTCTAGATCATTTTTTACAATTCAATGCACGTTTTCTAAACTGACTTCCGGCGATTACCCGGGAGGTGATTCGATAGCACAAGTTTATGAACACGTTCAACGTTCTCATCGGTATACCAGGTAGAAGGTCAACCCTGGCGGGTATCATCTATCATGTCTTCCCTTTTTCCCTGAGATTTTTCACCCATTTGTAAATGGTTCGTTTAAGACGCGTGACGGTCGAAAGAAACATAGCTATACCAAAGACATTGTCATATAAGCAAACAGTATTCATAGATAGTCGCTACCAGATAGTCGTAGCATTTTCTGAGATAACAGTAAAGACATTGTTCTACGAGCTCTTTAAGCAGAAGAGTGCATAATTCCTGTATGAATTCTTCTGGTATTTAATATTCTATGTTGCTTTTAAATTATGATAGAGTTCTATCAATCTGGGCGCAGCGGAGAAGAAACGGTTCTTATGTAATAACAATTCTACGTAAAGGTTAATGGGGCAGCAAATAAAATATCGTTGCAACGAATAAAGTTCTGCTATATTGTAGTATCCATTTCCTTTTCTAACGCAAGGAACGAAAGAACGACTCACTTGCAATTCCTTGGGACTCGTCCTTGTGCAAATCGCTAACGTTAGCGTGTAGTCGAACTGGTGCACGACTAGGTTCAGGTACACGGTTTCTTCCCAATCGATGTCGGGATCGCCGATTGGTAACTTTTTGCTGTCTTTCCGGAACACGTCCACCTCCGTTTCGAACTTTGGTAAGTATCTCGACGATGTTTTCACGTGTTTTTTGCGCACGAAGAAAAGGAGATCGTCGCCGTCGATCGTATGCTCCGCCTGGAAGAGGAAGTGCCTGACAAACAGGTCCGTCCAGTAGGTTGTACCTTGAAGTATCACGAAACCCGAGTCTGCAGGAATATAAACAGGAAATTATTAAGTCGTCCTAAAAATCTGCACGAAAAATGCAAAGATACAGCAGATTTTACGATTATATCAGTGCAATATATTCCTCTAATTTATTTGCCAATTAATTTCTACTTTTTTTCTTTCACTTAATAAGTTGTTTATAGAAAAACGATTCAGGAAATAACAAGGATATCGAAAATATCATTGTAGTTCGAAAACACGTTCGAGTATTTTGAAAATATCTTTCCTTTAGAGATTTGGATTGTTACGTATAATATATGCAATTATCTGTTCGCGGTCGCGGGATCCCATTTGGAATCGTTAACCTACTTGTCGTCTGTAACTCATACTACGCGCCTCAGATTCCACACGCTGCAACATCGTATATTCTGGAATTTAAAGCTTCTTAGCTCAAGGTATTTCTTTCGAACAATTTTAAAATTTTCTCGCTTCTCAAAATCTAAGTAATAACTCGTGTATGAAAAAAAAGGTTTTTTAAATTTCCTACAGACCACTCAGGAAAGGATCAATGTTTTTGTAATACGTTGCGAAAATCGTACATCCGATATTATAAAAATTGTTTTAAGTAGAATTGTTCAATTTGATATGAATTATATCCTTCAAAAATAAAAGGTTTAAAATTGTAGAATGATTTAATACTAGCTAAAATAACTAAAATAAAATTAATAGAAATAAATAAAATAACTGTTTAGAATGATTCAACTAGTTAAAGCAGCATTAAAATGAATAAGTTGATTAATTATAAGAATGAAATATATTTAAAAAATGTAATGTACCTCTGGAAACAGAAAGGCGAAAGTTCGTATAAACAAGGGTAGAACTTTAGATTAGCAGCGATAAAACGAGCGATTCGAAGTTATCTATGAAGGTGCAGCGAGATAAAATAATCCTCGATTAAGCAGGAACTAAGAGCGAATGAATCTCGCTAAAGGCAATCGATAATCGATAAGAATGTTCCGCGAGGACTTAATCGCAGCCTCTATTGGCAGCTTGACATCTCACCGATTCCCTATCTGCTTTATTAAAGCTGTACGAGCTTTTATTAAAAACGTGGATGAAAGTTGGCCTTTTCCGATCGTCGGCTAAAGCGGAAATAGCTCATGATCCTATATAAATATGTTCATTAACAACATCCTCGTCGATATCGAGTGCCTAGCTATGTACGTTTACACACCACTTCAAACATCTTTCCTATTCGTAAAATAGAAAATCTAATCATGTTTTGCGACAGGATGTTTGTTATTTTGTGAATCGAGCTATATACGCAGCGTGCATCTAATTGCTCATTGATACCGCGTCACGTCATCTTACATTTATAGAATGAACGTGTATGCAATAATTACTCGTCGTTCCTAGCGTATATCATTCGCACGACTAAATCGTAGCTTGAGATCGTCAACTTCCGATAAACAATAGACGACGAAAACAAAGAAAGTGTACAAGTGCGAGGATACAAAAGAAACGAATGAAAAGGAAATCTTCGGTCCAAAAATAAATGATTTCAAATGGAAAACAAAGAGAAACTAACAATACTAGACTCTAAAAAGCATTACGTGCACGAACTAAAACGTTGCGAGAATGCTTTGAAGCGCGTCTCGCTGAAAATGCCTTCGACCTCGCAACATCGTAATTAAGAATGCAAACTTATTTAAATTTATTCCTCCGCCTCGCTATAACAACTTAAACGCGCCTATATTATCTATTAGACCTAGCAAACTACTCATACGTGCTAAGCGAAAAACGAAATAAAGAATCGAGTCTCCGAAAATAGATTGGAGAAATTGCCGATTAGCAACGAAACAGGCAAGCCGTACGCAAAACAGTTTCGCTCGTTTTCCCCTCACACACACTCATCGATCGTGGAATCACCCTCGTCTGGCAGCGTCTGTCAAACAAAGGCACCGATCCCTTCAGGAACACACCCTCGTCGCGTGCATTCACCCGCTTCCCCAATCTTATCGCCCTAAACCTCCCTAAACGTCCCTTGAACCGAACGAGTAGTGCTTCAACTTAAATACGAACTCGTACGAACCATCTTTGAGCATCTGCCTGAGCTCCTTGGTCCTCTGGAAGTTGATCTCCTCGAGAAGCTGCTCCAGCATTGTCGGTGGCCTGGTGAGGCCCGACGACGAGCTGCCCGCCAGAGTAGCCATGGTTAGCCCTCGTGGTTCAAGCCGCGATTCCTCTTCGGTCCCAGCTGTCGCCACGATCACACTCGGAAAAGCACCGCGTCGCGACGCGCGCGTTTCGTCGAATCACGGCTGATCGAGGGACTCAGTCACGTACGAGTCGAACGGAAATGTAGAGGTCATCGCGAACCGGCTACGATCGGCATCGCGTCTTTCTTCGTTGTTAGATCCGCGCTTCCTCCGTGTATGTTCTCCAGGATGCCATACTGCCACGCTTTTATCTTTCCTCGAGGAACGAGCGCTAGTAGAGACGATGTTGATTCGCGAGACGAGCTGCTGCTGTTGCTGCTATTGCTGCTGCTGCTGCACTACACCTCTACCACACGCTCGAGTTCACGCTTCCACGACAGATGAATAGCCAGCAAACCCGATGACGCGCTCTCGGTTCGCCAGCCGCTCGATAATTCCGCGCATGCGAGCCGCGGTGACGCCTTGCTCGCGCTAGCGACGCGCTGTTTTCAAATAGAGTTTCCTTCTAACTCGAAGTGCAGATGATTCGAAGAGAGAAACGGAGAGGTTTCTATGGTAGAGTGGAAGCTTGGTTATCGAAATGGCCATTGAATTAGACCGTGTATGTTTATGCAAATTGATGGAACTATCGCAATAAGGAGATAACTCGATCTTGCAGTAATTTGGGTAAGCTTACGTAAACTAATTTATAATCAAGCAAAATCAAATCACTTTTTAAAACGTGCTAAATCGAATACATGTACGTATAAATTCGTAGTCAACTAACGATCGTAATAATGAACTTTTACACCTTCGAATGTGAAACTTTTCAATGTTCTTTTCCAAACCTATATCTTTTATCTCTTCCGATAAATGTAATCTAAATATTCGAACTGCTATTTCTATCGCTGCAAACGCTCCAATTCTTATTTTTACGTAGCTTGTTACAAAAATGGAACTTACGTAGGAAATTATTTAACGCATTGAATATTATGATATTTTACGTATATTTTTATATCACCCGCATTCTGTGCATTTTTGCAATTTTGAATTTCCCTTAAATGCATGAAAATCACGGCACATGCTTGCGTGTATAATCAAATTTTTCGGACAATTGGATAACTTTGGTTTCATATGACCGATCATTTGTTTAATATATTTCATAAATAGTAATATCGAAGAAAAACTTTCGAGTAAAAGTGCAATGACTTGTTTCAATTATTCCTTGTTGCTTGCCAATCTTTTCTACGAGATATCATCTCCAAATCTTTCGCTTTCATTAATCAGTGTACTGATAATCGATCGTTCTATTAATCAGTGCTCTGATAATCAAGATTCTGGAATTTCTTTTTCTTGATTTATTTCACACGAGGGATGAAACGTTTTGAAGATGTTGAATGAGTGGTTAAAGATTAATTTTAGTTAACTAGAAGAATAAAATATTGATAAATGCAGATGTGGGTGGCTATCTAGTATACGTTATCAGGAAGCTGTTTTTAATAAGATACGACGACCCAAAACTGACCTCATGACTTGAGATAATGCCTGCCGATTAGAGTCCTTCGGTTTAATGCGTCGCGTACGTGATCGTTCGCTGGAGAATAAGATTCGTGTTTTTTGACTTTTCACTCTCGATATATTTAGGTTCTAGAAACGAAAGTGGAGTTTGCAGAAAAGCGATATACGTCTATTTATCTATCGTAGAAAAGACATAAACACGTACCTTATCGATAAAGCAACTAATTGACATAATTACATGTAACAAACAATATTTACGGAAAACATACTCTTTGGAGCTTGTCTGAAAAATAACAAATAAATGTAGAAAGATTCATGATCATTTCATAAAAAATTGTCCATAAAAAGCATACCTACAATATGATTTTTGGAGTCGCGCCTTACCCATAAATGGGTCAATCAATGTTTGAATAGGAATTACCCTGATCCATATGGAAGATCCTGAACATCTCAAACATCTCTTAATGTCTGTATTATCGAAATTTATTTAGTAATTTACTTTCATTTTGTCCTTTTTCATTTACCCAATTAAAAAATATTCAAACATAAGTTACGAAATTATTTCAATGAATAAAAAGTTAAGAAAAGTTACGAAAACAAATAAAAGCGATGGTTGATTTACACAGAATTCACATGAGAAAAGTCGAACGCGCGGGCGAGCTTCCGCAGTTGATATTTTTCGAATCGTCGCTGCTAACTTTCCTGGCCCGCGATACCGGCTGTCCGGTTCGTCATCTCGTTTAGTCGTGTCCGATCGTTCTCCCGTTTTACTTAACATCTCGGCTGCTCTGCTGTACGCGTTACAGTTTCGGCTTCTTTCTGTCTGTCCGCTGAAAAAATATTGCGTGATCGTGTCAGAAAATCACCAACATGTGCAGTGGTATAGCAGGTATGTTGCTTCACGCTTTCTTTTTATTTTCATCAGCGATATTCGTCGTAAAGTGATATTTTTTATTCCAACGATTTCTATTAACTCCAAGCATCTCTTTTTCATTCGTTCTCATTTATAATTATTAATTTTCATAGTTTTGCTAATTATTAGAAAATCCGTTGATCGCAAAAGAGCGAGGAAGCTGCGAGCAACTTCGTTACGAAACGTCCGCTACATATATATATTTTTATCCGAACATCGTTAAGTAATCGTCTCTCGGTGAAATGTAAACCACTTCGAATTTTGCCGTAAGCGAAACACCCCGAAGCGGAATCGCGAGCGCGCGTGAAAGGGCGAGCCTCATAAAAGAAGTTGCGTCTCGTTCTGTTCCGACATTTCGATCGTTCTAATTTCATTCGACGTACTGAGTTCATCGGTCCTAACCTTACGCGGTGTTCCGTATTTTCGTGAAGCTGTGTAATCAAGTTTCAGAAGGACTAGTTTCATTGTGCTCGCAATTTCTCTGGAGTCTCGGGTAAATTGGCTGAGAGAAATCCTTGGGTCTAGTCCCATAATTCAATCGTTCGACGTGATTGTTGATCGATATAGAAGTTCATCTCAATGATAACTAGACTGTATTTGTGAGATAGTTAAATGTGCAACGTAAGATACAAGGATTTGATAATATTCCATAAATAATTTCAAGAAACGTTTCTTATTTTTCAAGTAAAATATTCTAATCAGACTGCAGATATTTGCTCAAAGTTATACTTTTATGAATATAATTGAAGATATTAAATCCAAGTAGACAATTGTTTCGTTTATTAAATATTATAACGAGTACTATATTTTCCTCGATATTCTGTGCGTTTTGCACCATTAAATTTCCCATAAATGCATGAAATTATTAAACATACGTAAAATTCGGTCGACCGATTTTAATGGATTTCGAGATCACTTAAATAGATGAAACAAATCTGCGCTTGTGTTTCGTTTGTTTAGTTATGCCCATGCAAATTTTATATACAATTCATTTTCTAAAATCATGTCTTGTATGGATTTTACTGTTCTCTTCTTTTCATATTTACGTAAAATAATTGTATTATTCTACAGGACTCTTGATTAACATAACTCCCTCACTTCCTGTTCCAATGATAATTTGATAATTTACATTTGGATATCTAACATCTCGTATAGTTCTTTCATTTTTCATTTACTGCATACAATTTTTTAATATTCGCATAAGACGACAACTGTTACATAATCAGCTACTTATCTTCCTTCGGTTGCTATATTTGCCGTATGAAGACAGTCAAGTAATTTACAAATACGAGCTGTTTGCGTAATCGCCAATTTCGTTTTCGATAACTAAGTAGTTCCAAGTATATTAAATAGTTCAAGATCATTTTACTAATTTTCAGAGGTTCCAAAAATCGTCGTTTCACGTACATTACGTGACTTCACCACGATTATTATTTTTAATTGCACATGGACGTCGTGAGTCACGACGAAATCAGTCAGGGGCGTTGAGCTCGCGGTGGTGAACTACAGTTCGTCGCCGTTAGACGCGGATCATTTTCTTTTCACGACTCGTACGACAGTGTGTAACGTGTGATATCAGCGGTCCTGAAATCTATTATTAATTTTTATCGTGCTTTTGGAGATGTGCAAAAATTTGCGATATAAAAAGGATTAAAAAGATCGAACGATAAGGTATGGATCGATTAAACGTAAATTTTTATAGGATCTCTATATCATTGATATTATCCATAGTATTGTACATTTTAGTTTTCATAGCTTCAAAAAATGCTATTTATTTTTTAAGTGAAGAATATTAACATAGATGTTGATAAGGACAGAACGAGGCATAAATTGTTCTAACTCGTTCTAACTGCCAATTACCTCAGCTTAAAGACTGACTATCGCTGCATTCTTTTTCTTCTCTGTAATATCAATTACTTATTACGATTTAATAATATACACTGCACTGTTCATCATTATTTCGTCGCTTTTGGTTGATTAACAATGACGATATTTGAATTTGAGCAAATGTCGCACTACGCAATTTTAATCGAATTTTACGAGTAATTTTAGGACTTGCGTTGCACCTATATTTATCGTTACATTTTATATGTTAACCGCTGTAGACATAATTATATAGAATAAAATAATTCCGCCCCAATCCATACGTATATCCATAATGAAGATAAATCTTGTCAGAAATCAATAAGTATGTAAATAATTTTGAACTGTAGTGTACATTGAAAGTTTCTTCGTTGCCCAGCACTTGCATTAAAATTTTTACGTTTAGTTCTTCATCAACTTTTACTTTCCACACTTGATCTCTTCCTCCATTCTGTAACTCGTTTGGCAACCTCTCTGTGAATGAAAGTATTTGAAGATCGATGTTCTAAAATCTACAAGGTGGAACTCGCCCCGAAACGGAGACACGCGACGGTTTTCGCGCGTCCAACGCGTGTCCCTGTTTCTGCGATCCACAGCAAGTCCAGCGTTCTAGAAACCTACACCTACATGTTGAGAGTGGTGATCTCGAGAGCCGGTTCGAACTCCCGACCCACTTCCCGGGCACGCTGGCGCGTAATCCGATGCATCTTTAGATTCTCTAGTCCTCTGCTCGATCATTAACCGCCCGCTCATTGTGTTCGCTTCGATCTCTCCAGCATACGCGTGTCATTTCTCTTTTTAAACCGTTTATCGTCTGAACTTCTTTTACGCTAATTACACCAGAACGATACCGTTACCGTAAACGCTACGGTTCATCTGTAATATCTTGAAACTAATTGCTCGGGGGCGCTCACAGATATTTGCATATTTACTTACATTTTAGCGGCGATACTTATCGTTAGTTTATTATAATTGGTATTGAGTTTACCATCGCATAATCGTATGATGCGGGCACTGTAATTAAAATTCTTATTTTAAACACGCGCGTATCTTCCATGCGGGATTCCTTTATCTCTATCTCTCTGTCGTTTAGAATCTGCACAGGTGATTACCCGAGCGTGCGTTCGTTTTCTAACGACTGCTGCGTTTTCAATGGAAGGTTTTCTGTAACCTGTCGATACAAAAGAGAGGCACCAACCTGTTTGTGATTGTGTTATGACACGTGTTCTGGAGAATGCACCTACACTGTGCTATTGTGATAAACAGTTTGTGCATGTTTATGTAAATCGATTTTCTTTTATCAGTGTGGTTACAAAAATAAAACGCAGATTTTTTTCATACTTTTAATATTCTAAAGAACGCTTTACTTTGAATATTTTGGGTATTTTTCATCGCGCGTGTTTGGTATATCCTTAGACATCTAACTCGTTACTATCTTCAAATTTTGTATATTTCATATTAGACAAGATTTGATATAGTTGTAAACGATACGAGTTTCAATGACCTATCTATTTTATTTACACATTTTATTAATATACCTCATCAGTCTCTGTGTGAACAACAATTACCAGATGACCGATACCGGAAGTTATCGAGTCAGCATGACTACTTGGCCAGCGTGAGAATTTGTATTTGACACAATCGATCTGAAACGCATCCATCATTTCAGACTGCACGATGTTGTTCCTGACCGTGACAACGTGTCTGGTGATGGCGGTACAGGCCGGATGTCCTATGCGACCGACCGCGGAACAAACTTCCGCTCCGAGGACTACGGGCGACGGTGGCTATAGGATACTCGTTAGCGGGAAGGCCGACAAATATATTCCCAACGCTGTTTACACGATCAGTTTGCAAGGTAACGACGTTTACCCCGTGTTTATTGGCTTCCCTTTCGAAGATCGCGATATTTACAACGTGCAACCATATAATTTAACCTGCTCGACCACCAAGGTTCTTGTTTAACCATCTACACATTCCAGAAAGTAAATAATCTTCTAGAGTTGGGTCCACACTAACCAGAAATGTTTATGAACTGTTCTATGAGTCGTACACGAGCTGCCTGGAGATTGAACAGAAGCATGTAGCCTCGTATTATAGTAGTAACTGCATAGTAATGCGTAGATCGTCGATCTCCATGAATCGAGTTCGTTGTGTCATCCACGATCATATCTAACTCTGTCTTTTACCAATTTCGAAATATCCAACATCACTCATCCATCCTACAGTGTTTACACCGAAAGGTGTGAACAGCTGAGCTGTGGATCTGCCATGAATGAACTCTTGGAAGGCGCGTGCTCAGCAACAAAGATATTCACGAGATATTCACAAACGCTTTATGATCAAACGATCGTTCCCTGCTTGTAATAAACTCATGAACAGTTCTTGAAGTCTATAAGAATATTTGAGTAAAGTTTCCGGTCAAATAGATATTCCGTCTGGCCGGAATAGCGTTTATCGTTCTCCAACGAATTCGCCGCACGTTTAACGTTTCTTTCTAAAAATTCGAATCGTTTTCAGGATCACAAACGCACGAGAGGCTGCAACAGTTCACGCGTTTCACGCTCTCGGTGAATTCTCAACACGCTCCAAATAATCTTAACGCTCGTGTAGGATACTTTCAACTGTTTTCCGATTCTTTGACCACGTTCAATGAAGACTGCGTCAACACCATCTCGGAAGCTTCCGATTATCCGAAAACGGAGGTGAATTAGCCTTTATACAGCCTTTATACCTATGCGTACATATGAATTAGCTTCCTTTTTTTAAACGTCTGGTACCTAGCCTTATGTTGGTGAAAATGTACAGAGACAGATAACAAATAAATTTCTGGTTGGCTACTAGCCAACGATCGGTGATGTTTGATTCCACCGCGTTATCGTGGCCAGAGTCCGCGAGCTTCCGCAACGAGACAGTTTAAACGTTGTTACCTTGGCACAGATCCAAGTGATGTGGAAGGCACCGCCGTCAGGATCAGGATGCGTTATCTTTACAGCTATGGTGCTGGAGAACAGCGTGCGATGGTACGCCGAGGACGTTGGCTTAACCAAGACCTTCTGCGAAATGGAAGCAGCCGAGAGCGCGACCTTCAATGTGGACAAGTGCTGCGCCTGCGACGAGGCAAAATACTCGGTGAGTGAGCTGGGCGAATATCTGGCAAAGGCGGTTCGAAACTGAAATTTTGTTTTGATTTGAATAATTGCGAGAATTTAACCCTGTTACGTCCTTTGGATAATTTTTTATCCTTTTTTAAATTTTGCAATGTCAGTTACAAATTCTAAAGTAACACATTATGTTGACGACTGCCAAGATTCCTTTGTTCAAATTTGGAGCTAATATTCAAAAGCTTAAATTTGACATTCAAAGACATCGGAAGTTTGCTTATTTTTTAATTGAAAAAGTGAGAAAATTTAGGACCGTAACAGAGCTTAATTAAAGATTAAATTCGACCGATGCAAGAAAAGTTTCATAAGATGTCAAGCATCGAATTTCATAAAATTGTATTCAGTATACTGTACGATAGTTAACAATGTGTGATATAGTCAGCACGTATCTCGTCATAAAGATAAATTTCGCTTTCTGTAAACACGTTTAAACGCGATAAGAAAAGAAAGAAACTTAATGGTACGTTAAACTGTCATCGTGAGAAATTGTACTGTAAATCACTTGGCGCCGATCTCACGGAGGTCGGTCGATATTTATAGCATAGACAATTTCGTAAAAATCGATGCAGAATACTTCGTAAAGGCTTGAAAGCTAGATAGCTTCTCAGCAATTTCTACCTTCGCGTTTCAGTTGACAATGGAAGGACTCTGGTCAAACGTGACTCATCCAAAAGACTTTCCATTTTCTATTTGGTTGACCCACTTCAGTGACCTAATCGGCGCTTCTCACGTGCCGACATTTTCCTTCTGGGGTAAGGACCACATCGCAACTGATGGCTTCCGGCAGTTAGCTGAGTGGGGATCCGCGTCAGGAGTAGAATCTGAGCTCAGGGCTCAGACCGGAAATAAATTAAAAACGCTCATCAAAGCTGCTGGATTGTGGTACCCAAACGTAAACAGCAATACTACCAGCAGTTTCAAGTAATTATTTATATTTTTTGGCTGTTATTGTTGGCACGGTATCTTCGTGTTCTGTAACAATTTCTGTGAAAAGAAAGGTGAAAAAAATGGAAAAACTTTTCTTCAACAATTATTACTATACTACCTGGATTAATTGGATAATTGAGCAGCTCGTAACGAAAATGATCGATGCCAGATTTTTTCACTTCTTGACCTACGATATGTTGAAATCAGTATTATTAATGTTCTACAACTGTATGTTTTTACTAAACATAATTACTCTACGACATAATTATAAATACATTTACAGCAATTGTGTGACATAATGAATATTTTCTGAAGATATAATGAATATAAAGATGCTATATAGTATTCGTTTGCCTAGTTGTAGAAAGAGAAACATCAACAAAGGTTGTTTTAAATATAGGTCAAGGAATTAAAAGATGATCTTGATAAGCACTCATTAAATATAAACAAGGAACATCAGGATAAAAATGCTAACAAAAATACGCTTATTATTTTCCTTCCGTGTGCTCTTCATATAGAATATCCAACTATGTAAATACTAAAATATGACAATTTCAGAATTGACACGAAGAAGGTGGTTGCAATACTAGCAAAACGTTGAAATAATATTTTTATTGGACACGGTCACGTTGAATACAAATAGTAATAACTGCAGAAATCTGGGCCGTGAAGACCTTGATGTTCAAAAACTTTTTCCAATTAATCTTATTTCTATTTCTCATTATTCTAGAGTGGATAGGCTACATCCCATGATATCTGCAGCTTCCATGTTTGGCCCTTCTCCAGATTGGGTCGTCGGTGTTAGTAAACTAAATCTCTGCAGAAAGGACTGTACCTGGACCAAAAGCGAGATAATCGATTTATACCCGTGGGACGCTGGCACTGACAATGGAATCTCCTACATGTCGCCCAATTCTGAAACAAAGCCGCGCGAGAAGATGAAACCAATCACCACTCTGTACCCTGAAGATCCCAGATCACCGTTTTACGACCCAACTGGAAGGCCCATGCAGCCATTAGCCAGGTTGTATTTGAACAGAGAGAAAATTATTCCGCGGGGTTGCGACGAGGAAATTCTTCAGCAACAAGTCACGCAGCTCGAGGTAGCTGAGAACACCGAGGATACTTCTAGACGTAGGCGACATTCGATGTCCTCTTATTTAATTCTAGTGTAATCGTTTTGCTAGAAGAGTGATATATTTAAGAAAAATTGTTAATTTAGAAATATTGACAATTAACGCTAAATGTGTATTATTTTTTAGAATATAGAGAATGTTACTATGTCAACTAACGAAATTATGCTATTTAATAAAAAAATACTAGAATTCGGAGACTGTCTTAATCCTTCGTTTGAGAATAAGCAATATACATAAACGATGCTATATTAGGAATAAAGTGCCTCAAAGCGTAAAGATTATTGTTTAAATTGTAAAAGCAATAAAATTTGTTCGTCGCTAAATGATCGAGTTATTAATAATTTTCTTTCTAACTCAAATTAATTACGTGAGAAATTTACTCTTCCTAATTAAGTCACTCTTCTAACAAACCATACTTACTTACGCCTTTTAACATTTAATTTTCTTATTATTTTCAGCCGAATGTCAGACTACAGACTACACAGCTTGGTCAAGCTGCTCGGTGACTTGCGGCAAAGGACTGAGAATGCGTACCAGGTCGTATCTAATGCCTGAAAAAGCAGCAATGTTCAAGTGCAACAGGCAATTAGTTTCAAAGGAAATGTGTGTCTCATCGATCCCGGAATGCCCGTAAGTACATGGAAAACATATTGGAAACTCTATATGCTTTAAATAAACAATGAAATTACTGCTAGTAAACATTTCCTCGATCGTTTTGCGCAATGATATTAGTCAATTAAATTATAAATTGTACGCGTCTCCTTTATAAATTTATTATTTCACTGACTTCAGTGGAGAGGAGGAGACAGACGATACTGATTTGCTGCCGGTTCTTAATAATCCTTTTTGCGAGACAACTGATTGGGGTTCCTGGTCCGAGTGCTCCTCTACGTGTGGTCCGGGGCTAAGGATGAGAACAAGACGATTCCACAATAGCATGGGTCGTAAACGATGTCCTCACGTTTCCATTGTCGAGAAAGAAAAATGTATGGAAGCGGCGTGCGTGCCTGGCTTAGAGGAACAGATCGATCCTACGTGCAAGGTATGCTATCTGCGCCCTGGTTGTAAAGATTTAGTCCCTTTAGCGCTTCCTGTAGCGTGTCTTGAGCGCTGAATTCAAACGTTGAATCATGGTTAGTTCGCGTGTAAGATGTAACATTTGTTTCAGGTGACTGAGTGGTCCGATTGGTCTCCGTGTAGCGCTTCTTGCGGAAAGGGGGTAAAATTGAGAACCAGACTGTTGATGGTAGACCCGTCACAGCAGCAACATTGCTCCTCTAAATTGGAATTGCTGCAGCAACGTCCGTGTTTGGAGCAGGCTGACTGTACTTTCGACATGGCGACTGCAAAAGGTAAAATTTTAGAAGAATTCGAAAGCGGCGTGTAAATCGGATGCAGTATTTTACTCTCCTTAATTCAAGTGTCCTATCTATCATTTTGATGTATCCGAGCAAACTGAAAGTTTATTGTTCTTTGCGTCTTCGTTTTTCATTGCCTAATTTAGAATATTTTAATAATTATTTCGCAGTTTGTATAATACAACATCACCTAAAAAGTAAACAAAGTACAGGGAACTTAAAATATTTCGGTACATATTGACAAACGAAAAAGATATTAAATAGGATATTTTAACTAGAGATTGTAGCTCGAATAATTTCGCAAGATTCGTTTTCCAAATATTTTTGAATGGAATTTATACATTAAGAGTTAGCTGCGTTCTATCTAAAATTTCATTTCAGTAGGAGCAGTTTGGACGAATGGAATTTTACATTGGTTTACTATTGTGTTTCAGTGGTCTGTATGGAACAAGCTGATCCTGGACCCTGCAGGGGTTACTTCCAGAGGTGGGCGTTCGTTCCTCAGAAACTGATGTGCGTACCCTTTGGCTATGGAGGTTGTCGTGGTAACAGGAACAACTTCTTGACTGCTGAAGAGTGCAACAATACCTGTCGCATTGTGAGTATTTTTATTAGTTTGTTGTGAACGATTCTTAACAAAGTGAAATCTTCATTTAATTCCAGGTACGAGACATTCTTAGCGGGCAGCCTGTAAGTGAAGCTGACGCTAGAAATGGTCTGATACCTCGCGCAGAACCTGTCGATTGTCGTGTGAGCAAGTGGTCAGCTTGGTCACCTTGTAGCGTCACGTGTGGTACAGGTCGCGTTACCAGTTATCGTACAATCCTGGTGAGTCGGATAAACTTTGAATAAAATGATAATATTTACTTCTATTATTACTAACTATTATCATCGTATTGTAATTAGTAATTACTAATTGATATTTGGAATTTCCAGCAAGAGCCACAAAACGGAGGAAATCCTTGTCCCAAGAAGCTTCAGCGGCGATTCAGATGCCAGCTAGCACCATGCGAATAACACTTTGAAGAAATTCGATCTTTAATCAACTGGCACGACGAATAAAAGGTGAAATATACATCTGGGACTTCATACAAAAAAAGTTGTTGGTTTTATATAAAAAATTTTGTAAAGAAGTATTGCTTCTCTGAAATTATGAATTCTGGTGACAGATCATAACATTAGTTTGTATATGATATGACAGGTATGAAAGAAACCGATGTATCAGAATAAATGGTATTTTATTAATGGTCACTCGTGATCTCTCTATTCTCAGTTTGAGTTACTCAAATACGCTGGGCTATGATCGCAAACGAACGTAATCGAAAAATGGACCTCCCGCATTGCGTTCAAATATGTTTGTCTCTTCGTTTAACAAACAGCGCCAAACGAAACATTCGCAACCGAAAGAGTTTTATACGTTCGATGGGAAACTCATGCGCGTCCAGAGTAGGCCATGTCGCAAAAACGAGCACATAAGCTTTTTTCAATATTAATTTCAATTAGTTTCGATAATAATCATTTATCCGTTAAACATACCTTTCTTTTTCTTCAACATCGATATACAATAATTCGAATCGTACCCTGACAGTTATAGAAACTCGTATATCTTTACGAAACTCTTATAATTTTTGTAAATATTTTTAATCAAGCCTCAACAAATATTTACGAAACGATAACGCTGCAAAATGGCTAATCTCGAGGTCTCCTATACTTCTGCACTCTTGCCCCCGATCTAACAGATCGCGTATTCTCTATAAAATATCTGACTTCTGATGATGAATGCTGTGCTATCGGAAACGATATTAATTTCGATCGTTAAAAAATTCCGCTAAATTCTATGATTCGTCTTCGAGTTACGATCTATTGTTTCAACCGGCTTAGGTCGTTAATAAAACGTTGGTTCCGTTTTGCGTGTACTCTCGTTCCACTGTATCCTTCTTTCTCACCTTGCTTCGCGTTTCTATTTTTCTCCTTCTTTCTTTTCTTTTCTTTTTTTTTGTTTGTTTCTTTACAATGATAACCGCTTCACAAGATAACACTCACTACGACGTTTGCCAAGTGGACATCTAACTTTACATTTACAATAATAATCTCATAAATAATACACGTAGGCGGTATAGTAATTACGTACGGTCTGTCAGGCTCGCGAACTCAAATAGGATACGAAGACGATGGAAATTCGAGTGGATCCTTTGGATAACGAGATTCTCTTTCGCGTTCCTGACACCGGGTTCACATTAATTACAGTTATTATCATACGTACACGTAATATCTAGGAAGTAGTACGGATCTTAATCTGTTTTAGGCCTCTACTCGACTACGCTACGGCTCGTTCTGTTTTGGTCGTGACACATTTATCTCGTCCTCCCTGCTTCGTAAACCGCTAATAAAGGAAAAAGGATTACCGCGGACGCAGCAAATCGTCTTTGCTAGGATACGCTTCCCTTTTGTCAATGGGAAGAAAAGAAATCGTCGTGTTCGAAGTTCTTCGATTCGAGCAATTCGGCCGTCCGTTTTATCGCTGTCAGCAGATTCTACAATAGTTGTTAGAAATTCCGGAAACGAATATCGACCGGGAGAAACGTATCCTAAATTTCGATCACTTCCTTCCTTTCCCCTATGATAATCGCTTCTTCGTCAGAATAAAAGAGTAAGATAAAAAGAAAAAAATATACTATACGTTTGAGTACGGATCATTGACTAGAGTTCGTTGAATGATAAAATAAAGCAGTAATAGATGACTAGTTGAATTAAAAAATTGGAGAAGATTGTAAAAGAGCACCGATCTTCAGCAGACCAGCTTCCTGAAGCGGCATGCATAAATTCGACATGTTCGCCAGTCCATTAACGTGAACGACGATAACGATTCTTCCAGTTTTTCCGAGTTAATTATAATCGTCCGTAAAATGTTAACGCAACTACCGATCGTCGCAATCCTCTTCTTTCGTATGAGATCGTCCGACTAGTGCTGACTAGGTTAGTTATCGTCGACCCACTTGCCCCTTCCGTTCTGGCAGTAGTAGCAATAGTAATAACAGTATAGTAATAGTAGGTCGTTAGACGATACGGAACGGATCGAAATCGTCTCCGTGGAAGTATCATCTGTTCCGATCGTCATTCTCACGGTATAAAATCATCGCTGATAATGTTTACGCACGGACGACAATGAGATTAACTCCGATGGCGTGAGCACGTGAAAATGATAAGTTACGTCGGTATGATCATTAGGAACGCGATATAGATCGACGCGACCGACGCGAGGAAACTTGGACAATTTTAATGAAAATCTTCGCGATGTTTTTTCGGGGAAACATTTTTTCTCTGAAGGATAAACGCTGCGCGTTTTCGGTCTGTAACGTGTTCAGAAACTTTGTTTCTCAGAGCGACATAAAGCGCCGCGAAAGTTAATCTTCCCCGGAAACGAGAAAGTTGGCGCGTTAGGTGAAAGACGCTCGTATTAAAGTTATAGTTAGGCTCTCTCCCATTCTCTTCTTCTCCCACGAAACATCGAAGTAAAGGGGGCCGTTATGGGTCGACGAGTTGGCGTTGCTCGAGATTCACGGGCGACGTCGCTTATTAAATAATACATGTACATATATATCTATATAGTTTCTTTTGTCTCGGCGAAATGCGTCGTCGCCAAAAAGGCATCATTGTGCGTGTGCCGACGACCACGCGATCTTACGCGATCCTCTTTCGCGATCGATGTCGTCGTTCCAGCCTTTGCTGGTCAGTAGAAATGCAACTCGTCTACGCGCAAATATCGATTGCAGTACGTGATACGTTGCTGCGGAGAGATCGTTGAATCTTCTCAGAGCCATCCTCCGGATACATCGTGACCGGATATCGGCTCGATACCCGGAAGCCGCTGTAGCTGCGTCGCTGATCCGTTCCTTTTCATGGTCGCTGGGAGAGAACTGCTCGCGACCACGCTCTCCTCCGTCGTTGATGGTGTCAGCGGAGCAGCCGGAACCACTTCGCAACACAAACAAACAACATCTTCTAGCTGTTGCTAGAATTCACTTATGCTCGTGTCTGTGCAAATATACTCTAGCATCGTCTTATCGTTTTAATAGCTTACCAGATATACGTAAAAATCTGAATTGTTTCGACTTTGTTCCATTTGAAGATTATTGGAAGTCAAAGTATCAAAGTAAAAAGAGTTACTCAAGGTTACTTAACCTTCGTCGATTGTACTGGTCCTCAGTCGATCGTAATATATAGATATTTCATGTTTGCTACCGTTTAAGATAAAGAATTGCATGTAAATTTAAATGTAGAGGTAAAAATTTTCTTTCCTCGATTAGAGTCTTTTAAAAATATTCCGTAGATTTACTTTTTCATAAAATAATATACGATAATGTTGCAGCGTTGAACAAAAGTGAAAAGATATTCAATGCCAATTTTCGATACTTTTCAAAGTGACAGATTTCTGAAAAAAGACTACAGCGATCCAGCCACCACCAGACGAGGGTTAAACGATGTTAAAAGTACGATAGGGACTCACCAGGTTGCTCGTTAGCGTTGACACCCTCAGGTGTGTCGATACTAGGCTGCTGACTTTGCGTGCCTTCGTGTCTCCTCGGTGGAATCGGCTGTTGGCCCAATTCCGGTCCTCTAGCAGGTACGCTGCTGGCTCTCTGTAGTTGTTGTTTCTTCGATACTTTCGAAACGAGAGCCGAGGTGATCGGGTACATCGGATTCGTACCGCTGCTGCTTCTCATTCCCGAACTCGCCCTGGAGTCTGAGAAGTTCTTTCGTTTCTTTCGGAGTGCTACCAGCGCGCCTAGGCCATGAGCGAACATGTGATGTCCCTCGTGATGATGCGAATGATGCGCGTGATGAGAATGGTGCGTGGCCTGGACTTCGGGTCCAGGGGTCTCCAATGATGATTTTGAGTCCGTCGATCCTTCCGATCTTGAACCGCCATCTTCAGAAGCAGGCGAGTACACGGAATCCTCTGAACGAGATCTACCTGAGGAATCAAAAAGAGTCGCAAACTATGGAAACATACTCTGAATCGAGATTCGTTCTACTCCCTAAATACAACAAGAAGTACTAAATTTCTCGTAAATATATAGACATTGGTACAATGACAGTTTAATTAAAAAATTTAACCGTGTACAATCAAGTGTACCAAGTGAAATTTTGTCATAATTATTTTTACGGTTAAAAATATACAGTTTATCGCGTAACTTACCAATTAGCCTCGAGACTCTTCCTCGAACTTTAGCTGCCTCGATAAGGTTTTCCCACCTCTTCTTCTTCGAACTTCCCCTAATTCTGCGACTCTGTCTGCTCGTACCGAGTCCCGGAACGCTGTTAGTACTGGTGTGATGTGGACTCTTCTTTGGTGTGGCGCCTGGTCCAAATATCCCGCTCAAGGTCGAACCAAATATCTCGTGGGAGTTTTCCTGTTGCACTTGTTGCAGCGACGCTGTAAATTCGTCAACCGGCGGTAGACTGCCACTTCCACTGGGTTGAGGGGCGATATTGAATCCCTTCATTAGACGTCGCTCCTTCTGACGATTCTTCTTACCCCCCGCACCTATGGACAGCTCTTTAAGGCTACCGTCTATGGGGCAGAGAGAAAAACCAAAGACTACTACTCTGAAGCGGCTACCAACAAACTGAAAGGGTCTTGGCAAATGCCTGTGCGTGTCTGTATTACCGATTAATTACGTTCGTTCGTCAACAACATTAACGCGATAAGCGTCTGTTCGTAACTTGGATTTTGGCAAATATTCGCGTTACACATTAAATCGGACCAACCAACTACGAAACAATATTTGCGCCAGACGATCCTTGATTGCATTAATTATACCGCCGGGGTTCACCGAATGATTAATAGCGTTCCAGTAACGAACTTCGAAACTTTCATTTACGAAGGATGAAGCTAGCAAACCCCTTCTTAATGTCGTAGTCATGTCACGATATAAGGCTTCCACCAACTTGATACGCTTTACGAACATAACTCCAAGGGATCGTGCATAGGGAACATAAGATAGAAACGGAAAATTCTATGAAAACATAGGATATTATACAGAGTGTCACAAAATATGTGGAGAATATTTATTCGAGGGTCGATTCTAGACAGTAAAACGGTGAGAAAGATTCGTGTACAAAATTGTTACTTGAGGCATATCTTTTAAGATATAAATAATTTTATTTTGCGCTAAAAATACGTGTAAAAATACGTATGATACAAACAGTATTCCTTTATCACTCTTACACTTCATAACTCTAGGATG